AACTGAAATAATCCCTTGGAACTGAGTTGCATGTAAATAATGCATTTTTTTGATGGTACATTTGCTCGTCTAATTTCACACAGGTGGCCTTAGGTCTGTATTTCATGTTGCTCCTCTCTTTGCCCAGTGGACTATGGGCTCAGAATGTTGTAAGTATTAAGGACTATTGTACTGAACTTGAATAAGAAACTGGTTTTGTAACATGAATCATTGGAGCTGAACAACTCTTCTTCATAACTTGGTGCAGTATATTGTAAGGTAGTGAATAATGAACACTGAATTCAAAGTCTAGGTTGAGTTTAGTGCTAATGTGTTTTTGTTCACAGGGAGAAACAAGACCATCTGACGGTACTTCCTAGAACGGTGGTGGCTTAGAACATAGTACCACTGTCTGATATTCCAACACAAACGGAGCTCATGTGTTTGATAGTACCAAGTCAATACATCGGTACCAGGCTGACAAAAGGTTCAGCTGATCTGTAGCACATGTGGCCATATAACAGACTTCCTCCTTGTTTTAGACGTGTTCATCAATATAAAAAAAGCTGTAGGTCTGGAAAGTGCCTAATGGTAGCTTGATTTGGTTCATGAACAAACTGGACTTTTATTTCTCCCTGGCCCCTTTAACACCAGGATGTTGTGTAGGTGTAGCGTGATGACTACTGTTACAAGTTCAACCTCAATGAAAAGGACTGGGCTGTTGAAGACCATGTGTTGTATTTGGCAAGTTCTACATTTAGACCATGCTTGCCCCCAACACTCCGAACCCACAGAGATGCAACAAGTAGCTACTGCTTCTTTGAGAGGGGGGGGACCCAGCACTTTTAACAGGTTTACTGCTCTTTGAAAAGCAAGCTAGAAACATGATGCAGTTGCAGATCAACAGTTTATTAAATTGAAAAGCCAGCACTGGTGACGAATTGATGCAAGTGAGGCTTTACATCTGGCCAGAAATGCCCTCAGTAGCAGGTGTGCGACGTCCACACCGGCCTCTGCCACAAGCATACGATTTCTTCTGGGTACAAGGCATGTCATTGGCAACCCCTAAAAGGTAAAAACCAATTAGAGCTGCAATCAACTTTAAGTATTATTTCAAGGACCATCTTGAAAAGTTTGGCCAGCGACATATCAGAAAATTGTGACAATGCCCGCTTCAGTTTCAAAGCTATGTGTCCAGTGATAATTTCATCTGCCAATAAATTACATATCCATAGTTTACAGCTGGAACCTGTCAATTTTGTGTAACTAGCAAGGGAACATGACATCTACATTTGCCTTGCTCTCAGCATCTTAACTTCATTACCAAATAACAGTTTTCCCCACCCCACAATGAAATTTACTGCTTCAAGTCATTCCAAATGAAAGACAATAGATCATGTACCCTTATTGACCAGCGCCATACAATCTTCACGTCTACCAGCATTGTCAGGCTGCCTTGGTCCCCAGAACGTGAAGTCAAATTTGGAACCGTCACTCCACAGCCACACACCCTCCTGGAAGAACAAGACCCAGGAAGCTGTTCACTCAGAACAGCTTACCACACAAAAGGTGTGAAGTGAAATATCCTGGCATCCCAACATTATTTGGCATACAGCCATCACTGCCAAATAAGCAGAATACTGTACCTTCAGTGTAAAATGCTCAAAGTTTATCAAGTCACTCACCTTGACTGCATCAGTGCCTCCAACCCAAGTTTGTTTATTTGGGCCAGCTGAGGTTTTAATCAAACCTTTCACAAAGTCATAGTGGTCTTTGCTGTGGATGGAGGCCAGATTCCCACCAACAGCAACACAGGCAACCTGATGGAGCAAAGTGTGAAGCAGAGACAAAAGGAATGAACTAGAAAGGAGTACATGAAGCAGGCGTGTTGGACTTTGAAAGAAGCAGTGAGAAATACCACATCAGGTCTTTGTAAATGAATTTGTGTGTGCAAACACAGCCACTTCATTAGTTTTAGTCCTGCTTCAATATCTGTTGTACAGCCAAGTTCCAGTTTGTGGTGAAATTGTTCTAAACTCAAGTTTTGACTAGAAACACAACACTACCACTTTCTCCTAGAAGAGGAAGTCGGACTACATAATGATGCAATGTTTGCATTTTAAAAAGTGCAGCGACTAGAGAGCTTGATTACATTTATTTTCAATAAATAGAATCTTTAACAGGAGACTATGCAAATTCTCAAACACTGCTGTCACCATTCCTACACAACATGCAACTGATTTTCTGTAGCCTGCTACACAGCATAAAGTGGATTATGAGCATTTTAAAATCTGTATTTCAGTACACCACAAACTACTCAAAACAAACTTCATAAACAAATGTTAAAGCACAAGTGCTGCATTGAATTACATGGTGTACCTAATCAAGTAACACTGAACGTGTTCCATGAAGAGGATGTTACGCTTCCACCAACTACTGTACCTCTGCATCAGCCCAGTCCTTTTCATTGAGGTTGAACTTGTAACGTGCTACAGATCAGCTGAACCTTTTGTCAGCCTGGTACCGATGTATTGACTGGGTACTATCAAACACATGAGCTCTGTTTGTGGACAAATATTACACAGTGGTACTATGTTCTAAGCCACCACAGTTCTAGGAAGTACCAACCGTCAGATGGTCTTGTTTCTCCCTGTGAACAAAACCACAATATTAGCACTAAACTCAACCTAGACTTTGAATTCAGTGTTCATTATTCACTACCTTACAATATACTGCACCGAGTTATGAAGAAGAGTTGTTCAGCTCTAATGATTGATGTTACAAAACCAGTTTCTTATTAAAGTTCAGTACAACATTCCTTAATACTTACAACACCATGAGCCCATAGTCCACTGGCCAAAGAGAGAAGCAACATGAAATACAGACCTAAGGCCATCTGTGTGAAATTAGACAAGCAAATGTACCATCAAGAAATGCATTATTTACATGCAACTCGGTTCCAAGGGATTATTTCAGTTTTAGTACAGACTGTACCAGCGGATTAACATTTTTAGTGTACTTATAAACATTAACTATTTGTAGTAGCCAACTGTTCACCTGGATTGAAAACCAGAAATGGTACTGCACTTTTATCAATGCCATTGTGATAATGGGCAAAATAAACAAAATGCTTTTACAACAATGTGGCTGTAAGAAACAGATGCGTCACAACAGCTTGTTTGAACAAAGGCAAGAGTTACAACCTTACCTTGTGATTTCACTTGGAGCTATAGCAGAAGCCAAGACACTATATTTACCCTCTGTAGGAAGCTTCACTCACCTTGAAAAAACAGATTTATCCATCAAGATATTGTAGGTTTATTATGAGGAAAGACAAGGTACTGTTTAAAACTATGTTAAAAACATTTAAAGGAGCAGTTCAACACAAGCTGCAGAAGTTTGAACAAAGCTCATTTCCTCAAAAGGATCATTTGACTGGAGTGACCCAATAAAACTAGGAACACAAGTAAGAGACTCGACAAACAACAACACAAACAACAACAACAACAACAACAACAACAACAAAGAAAGCAACAAACCAATAACAGAGGAAAACCAAGCCTGAACTCAAAATCAAGGATGAAGCACAAGACGTGACCAAACCAACAACTCCAATTCTGCAAGGTGAGGCGATTATAAGGACTGAACCAGGGAAGTAAACGAGTAACAGGTTAAAACAATGAAGGCAGTTGATGACATTGTAAAGCTGGGGGAGGGGAGAGGGCAAGAAAGAGGAAATGGCCACAAAATAAAAGCATACAACAGGAAGACAACCCAAAAAAAAAAGCTGTAGGTCTGGAAAGTGCCTAATGGTAGCTTGATCTGGTTCACAAACAAACAGTGGACTTTTATTTCTCCCTGGCCCCTTTCACACCAGGCTGTTGTGTAGCTAAGAGATGCCCCAAGGGATGGACCCAGCGTGATGACTACTGTTACAAGTTCAACCTCAATGAAAAGGACTGGGCTGATGCAGAGGTACAGTAGTTGGTGGAAGCGTAACATCCTCTTCATGGAACACGTTCAGTGTTACTTGATTAGGTACACCATGTAATTCAATGCAGCACTTGTGCTTTAACATTTGTTTATGAAGTTTGTTTTGAGTAGTTTGTGGTGTACTGAAATACAGATTTTAAAATGCTCATAATCCACTTTATGCTGTGTAGCAGGCTACAGAAAATCAGTTGCATGTTGTGTAGGAATGGTGACAGCAGTGTTTGAGAATTTGCATAGTCTCCTGTTAAAGATTCTATTTATTGAAAATAAATGTAATCAAGCTCTCTAGTCGCTGCACTTTTTAAAATGCAAACATTGCATCATTATGTAGTCCGACTTCCCGACTTCCTCTTCTAGGAGAAAGTGGTAGTGTTGTGTTTCTAGTCAAAACTTGAGTTTAGAACAATTTCACCACAAACTGGAACTTGGCTGTACAACAGATATTGAAGCAGGACTAAAACTAATGAAGTGGCTGTGTTTGCACACACAAATTCATTTACAAAGACCTGATGTGGTATTTCTCACTGCTTCTTTCAAAGTCCAACACGCCTGCTTCATGTACTCCTTTCTAGTTCATTCCTTTTGTCTCTGCTTCACACTTTGCTCCATCAGGTTGCCTGTGTTGCTGTTGGTGGGAATCTGGCCTCCATCCACAGCAAAGACCACTATGACTTTGTGAAAGGTTTGATTAAAACCTCAGCTGGCCCAAATAAACAAACTTGGGTTGGAGGCACTGATGCAGTCAAGGTGAGTGACTTGATAAACTTTGAGCATTTTACACTGAAGGTACAGTATTCTGCTAATTTGGCAGTGATGGCTGTAAGCCGAATAATGTTGGGATGCCAGAATATGATTTCACTTCACACCTTTTGTGTGGTAAGCTGTTCTGAGTGAACAGCTTCCTGGGTCTTGTTCTTCCAGGAGGGTGTGTGGCTGTGGAGTGACGGTTCCAAATTTGACTTCACGTTCTGGGGACCAAGGCAGCCTGACAATGCTGGTAGACGTGAAGATTGTATGGCGCTGGTCAATAAGGGTACATGATCTATTGTCTTTCATTTGGAATGACTTGAAGCAGTAAATTTCATTGTGGGGTGGGGAAAACTGTTATTTGGTAATAAAGTTTATGATGCTGAGAGCAAGGCAAATGTAGATGTCATGTTCCCTTAGTTTCACAAAATTGACAGGTTCCAGCTGTAAACTATGGATATTTAAAGTTGACTGCAGCTCTAATTGGTTTTTACTTTTTAGGTGTTGCCAATGACATGCCTTGTACCCAGAAGAAATCGTATGCTTGTGGCAGAGGCCGGTGTGGACGTCACACACCTGCTACTGAGGGCATTTCTGGCCAGATGTAAAGCCTCACTTGCATCAATCCATCACCAGTGCTGGCTTTTCAATTTAATAAACTGTTGATTTGCAACTGCATCATGTTTCTAGCTTGCTTTTCAAAGAGCAGTAAACCTGTTGCATCTCTGTGGGTTTGGAGTGTTGGGGGCAAGCATGGTCTAAATGTAGAACTTGCCAAATACAACACATGGTCTTCAACACAAGTTCATCTTGATTGTGTGCCAGTTTGAAACCATGCAATCATGTAGTGGAACAGGAATATGCATGGCGAATCAAATCCTGAACAATCTATGAACCAATAAATAGCACAGATTGTGCTTAATCTTGACCACTAGATGTCCTACTCGAGCACTGTGCCATTAACATTTTGAGTAAGGAAAACTGTTTTTGAATCCTCTTCTTTCGGCTGTTTCCACCTAATTCTATCCTCGGCATCCTCTTCTCACCCCAATTAACTTCATGTTTTCTTTTAGCACATCATATATCTCCTCTTGGGCCTTCCTCTCGACATCTTGCCTGGCAGCTCCATCTCAACATCTTTATACCAATATAACCACT